AATAGAAATAGTGCCAGGCACACTAGGGAGATCTGAGTGGCCTTGGGCAAGTCTCTGTCCTTCCCTTCAGGGCCTCTTTTCCACATCCATGATTTATGAGGGGATCAGTCTAGATCAGAGGTCTCCAGATATAAAAAACATGGAGGATGCATCCATAATATACATATATGCTCACTTATAAATGCTATACCTTTACTACAATACTAATATTTTATGATACAGACACACAAAATAAGAAATTTAAAAGCTAATGTTCACACAAAATATTTAAAAATTCATAGTATTTATTTTGCATCACAAAATTTCTTCCTCACACAATTTTATGATTTGCTTGTAATTAACAACAATGGTATACGGTACAGCTACATGGTTGTGTAGGCTTCACTATTCTTTGAAATCATGCTTTGACACTTTGCTATAGAGCTATTTGGAGGTCTGGCTCTAGTTGAGTTTATTTTTAATGACTGTCATAGCTGACTCAAAAAGAAGAAATGTATCATCAGCTGCACGTATTAAATTATAGTACTCATTTTCAAACCCATCCACCAATTGAAGGCATTTTATTGAAACTGAGCTTGTAGGTGTCTATCTTCCCTGACAGTGGTGCTTACAAGCTAATTGAAAAACATTGCATTTTTATATTTTTAACAAATGGACTCAAAATCCACTGACACTCTTTAGTTGGGTGATTTTCAGACAGATTAGAAAAATCTGTTTTTAATATTTTCAGGTTTGCAGATAGAACTTTTTTTTTTTTTTATAGGTGACACTACATGTTTTCAACAACAAAGATCTCATTTTCAAAATATTCTTTTCAAAGCATGAGTTTCTTTGGAAAAGCAAGTACTTTCTCACTCATTGTTAAAACGAGACACTTCTACCTTGAAGAGTCAGAAGCATTCGAGTTCCTTTTTTGGTGGATATCTGCTAGGTAGCTGACTGCCAACAGCCACTTGTCATCATAAAAAGCTCAGCAAATTTGGAACGCTTGTCTTTTTGTACAAAAAACACATATAATTCCTCTTGAAATTTGATGGCTGTTTTAAGTGCTCTGCCAAGAGATAACAAGCAAACCTCCACGTGATTCAAGAGATTTCCAGAGTCACTTCCCTTCAGATTACAAATCATTGCAAATGTTTTACTCTATGTTAAACTCTTTTTTTAAAAAACTAAGCACACCAAAGCATCCTGTAGTACGTTGTGCAGTTCTGGATTTCAGTTTGTGCCTGCAGCAGCCTGCGGGAAATCCTGCAGGGCTTTAGTTTCACATGTCACCCTCACTGCCCCCTAACCCAGAAACCTTTTTAATCACAGAGCAGCACCCCATCAGAGATTACTCAGACAATTCCACCCGTGAACAGTGTTTTTATTAAAAGAGTAATGTACTGTGCAGGCCATATTGTCTCTTTCCTTTAGTGGCTCACAAAATATGGTCCCTTGTGTATTTTATTACTGAAACAGAACCTAGGAAAACCATGTTAGAAACATCTGTCCTTTCCTTCAACTATTTAGCAAAAATTCCAGTGTGAAGTATGATCTAATTCTTATTTCCCTACATCTCGCATCTTCCACCAGTATCTGTGGTCACCATGTTGTGCTCTGTGTACTATTCTTATAACCACCAGCTACCACATCAGCTGCCCTCTTCCCGATCTCTGTAAGATAAGGGTGTGTGTGTGTGTAGATAACAGAGTCACATCACATGGGTCTAAGGAGGAGTGGATTGGCTTTCTGGCAGTCATCACCCCCTCCCCCATCACTCCCAGCAAAGCCAAGTAACGGGGGCGGCCCCCAGGAAGGGGAGATTGGTATCTCACTCCCGGCTGGTTATTTGCTTAGGCAGTGAGCTTGTTGCTCTGCCTTGCACCTGTCTGAAAGCAGGAGAAGAGGACTGAAGCTGGGGCTTCTTGTTATGTCTGACTGGATTCTCATCATTTCTGCCTCTTAGAGAAGAACTCATATTTCAAGAATGGGAGGTATCTGCCCTTGACATTTTAGAGAAGCTCTCTTGCATTTGCATTTTAAGCATTATCTTCGGTCGTGGTTTCCTTGCAGAAATCTTGTTAAGCCACCTATCCATTTGTGAGAGTTAAATTAGTTAAAATTTGGCAAAGTAATCTGTAAAGCCACTTAGCTAGGTACGTGGGACCTGGACCTCGTCACTGTAGATAGCCCTTATCAGTGTGCATTTGAGGCTGTTGCACCTAGTGTTTCTGGGGGGTGTGGAGGTGATAGGGTGGAGGAAGCAGACACAGGGGAGCTTGTTTGGAGGTTCTGGCAGGGCGGCCCAGATTCTCCTGGACCCTGGCTACTCCTGGAACACATAAATGTATATATATCTATGAAATTAACCCCGTCACCTGGGGAGGTGACTTACAATGCAGATTCCTAGGTGTATGAGTTTGCTAAGGCTGCAGTAACAAAGCCACAGCTATGTGGCTTAAACAACAGAAATGTATTGTCTCACTGTGCTGGGGGCTGGAAGCCTGAGATCAGGGCATCTGCAGGGTTGGGCCTTGGGAGGGCTGTGAGGAAGTGTCTTTGCCTGCCTCTGTGCCAACTCCCGTGGTGTGCTGGCCATCTCTGGCATTCCTAGGCTTGTAGATGCATCTCTCCAGTCCCTGCCTTTCTCTTCACTAGGCATTCTCCCTGAGTGCGTGTTTCTGTGTCCAAATGCCCCCTTTTGGTAAGGACACCAGTCAGACTGGAAAAGAGGGCCACCCTACTTCCTATGCCCTCATCTTAACTAATTATATGTGCAAACACTTTATTTCCAAATGAGATCAAATTCCAGGGTACTGAGGGTTAAGACCTCAACATGTATATCTTGGAGGAGACATAATTCATTCCATAATGCTGGGCTAAAACAGGGCCTCTGAGGGTGGGAGCTTACAATTTATGTTTTTAACATGGACCTCGGGTAACTTGTATGCTCACTAAAGTTTAAGAACCACATGGCCACCTGCAGTGACACAGCATGTCCTCTCTCCCACCTCAAATCCATAGCAACACAGTAGATCCCCCTTAACCCAGGGGAATACTTTCCAGCACCTTTGGTAGATGCCTGAAACCATGGATAGTACTGAACCTTATATATACATTTTTTCCCATGCATACATACCTACGATAAAGTTTAATTTATAAATTAGGCACAGTAAGAGATTAACAATGTATTACAATTATAACAATATACTGTAATAAGCTATGTGAATGTGGTCTCTCTCTCTCAAAATATCTTATTGTTCTGTTCTCACCCTTCTTATGATGAAATGAGAGGACAGGAGGTGAATGTGGCAGGCACTGTGCTGTAGCATTAGGCTGCTATTGACCTTCTGACGTTAGGTAGGTCAGAAGGAGGAGCATCTGCTTCTGGACTGTGGTTGATTTTGTGGATATTTGTGGATAAAGGACACTACTGTACCAATTAAAATTAAACTATAGATTTTAATATGTAGCTGAATTGAAAAGAAATGAAAGAGAAATTATGTGCCAAAAAGAGAGGAATCAAAACCAGAGAGCTGAGCTGAGGCTAGAACAACCCAGTGAGTGTTAGACAAGAACGTAGGCGCCTGGGGGCTGGAGATGGGGCTCAAACACCCCTGTGGAAGGTGACAGGCCCATTGTGTGCTTAAAGCAGAGGCACTAACCTTTTGCATGAAGCCTGGAGCCTTAAAGAGATTATCTTGTTAATGAAAGCGGGACCAGAAAAATCAAGCAGAGATTTGTTTCAACTAATTAAAATTTGGAAGATTGAGGATGGGCTGGCCATTCAGACCTGCTGTGTGAATTCACAGATTCAAATAGCTTTCTTAGCTGAGGTACATCTAAGGAAAGGAAATTTGGGCTGGAGGAGAGGGAGGATCTGGAAACCAGAGCAAAGTGGGGCTCTGATAAGGCCTGCCAGCAGGCAGGGGAATTTAGAACAGGGAAGGGTGGGGCCCTGAGCAACCAGGGGAAGGGAGTCCTGGTAGGTGGGAATGGATTGGGGCACAGAAAGAGGGAGGTGGAGGGTGCCTAAGACACACTTACTGCTTTTCAAGATTCTGAAGCTTGTTCTGTGCCTTTGACTCTCATTAGATCTGCCCACCCCACAGCCTACCCAACCTACCCATTCCTGGGGGCTGGAGGGAAATGAGCAAGGTGGTCTTAGTGAGCTGTCTCTGAGCTGGTTAGAGAAGCAACTGGGTGTTTGTCCAGAACCCAGTGGAGCCAGCATCAGAAGGGCCCTCTCATGTACAATCCTAGCCAGGCCCAGTTTAGGGGAACTAGGGTTTCTAAAATCATGTGACCTTACTCATTTGGGACACGAATTTGAGAAACAGTTTGATTTAAAACGAGAACTGCTGTGCAGATCATAACATCTATAGTAGCTCGATAACAATTAATAGCTACCACTTGTTGGGTGTTATTTGTCAGTCACTGCAACTCTAAGTCAATCTTGTTGAATCCTCACAACAAACCTATAGGTAGATATAGTACTCTAGAGCTTATAGATGAGAAGTATCTTATCTTGTAGATGAGAAATCTTAGGCTCCAAGAGATTGTATATTATATCTAAACTAAGGTCACCACTAGTAAACAGTAAAGCTGAGATTTACATCTGGGTCTGTCAGACTTCTACATCAGTATGTTGACAGTGGCTAATTCTGGGGAGTGGATGACAAGCTATTTTTATCCCATCTGTATTTTCCAAATTTTATACATAAAATGGAGAAAAATTAACCATAAAAAGAAATACAAACCAAAAAATGAGCCTTTGGAAGGTGTGTGCAGGAGGAGATGACAGTGGGGAGAATGATGTTATGCATGGGCCTTCACCCTGGGTACCGTATATCATGCCCAGGATCCTGCCTTATGGACCCAGTACTACTACAAGATGTAGATTGTTGCTATTGTTTTCTTCTCAAAGACAGGACTGTGCTTCTGATAGATGAGCAAGGGCCAGGGAAGCATGAACCTGACACTGATAGACCTCCCCTCTTCTTCCTCCTCACTCACAGGTCAACCCTTTCAGAGACAGAATCTGCTGTGTTCTCCCATAACGATGTATTCTCCTTTGAGGATGTGCTGGGTATGGCATCTGTGTTCAGCGAGCAGGCCTGTCCCAGCCTGAAGACTGAGTACACCTTTCGCATCTATGGTGGGTGCCACGGGGGACTGAGTGCCAGTGGTGGAAAGGGGACACATCATAGAATAAATACATCATTGGTTTATGTGGATATCTATGGGTATTATCAGGTTTCTTGAGAACTGTAGATTTTTTTAAAAATGGTTGTGAGCTACTACTCCAATGGATTGGTCCCCTCCCCTCTATGCCATCAGAGGCAAATGGAGTCATTGGTGTTGATATTTTGCAGTAGTGGTGTGTGTAGGTCAGAGAGAGAGAGAGAGAGAGAGAGAGAGAGAGAAAGGACTTCCTATGGGTATTCAGGAGTCATGTTTGTTTTGCTCAAGTTAAGAGACTTGAACACTAGAACTCGTGCAGCCACTAAATGGCTGAGAAATCTTAAACAAATCAGTTCACTTTTCTGGGTCTTGGTTTCCTCATCTTTAAAATGAAGAGATTGAGAGAGTTCATATCTGAGGTCCTATGATTTTTTTGGTCTCTGCGGTAGCCATAGGCTCTGCTGAAGTTCTAGTCTTCAGTGGGTCCATGTCCCTTTAGCACAGCTGCTATGTCTGGAATTCTCAAAAGGAAAAAAACAAAAAAATCTTAAAAAGCCTCCAAACAGACCACGTGCAAGGCTTTTAGCTCATCATGAAAACTGGGCCCCAAAGGACTTGTGCATTCATGCGTGCATATTTTGGTGTCTCACCTGCCTGCCTTTCCTGTCATGTCCTCCCTTGTCTCTGCACAGTAGACACCATCTTGCTCCTGTCTCACTCAAGCAGACTTGGGTAGAATGGAGTGCAGGGATTTTTAAGCCAGATGTACTATGAGGGCTCAGTTTTCTTATTTGTGAAAAGGATATTTTTGTATCTTATATGTCCTCAGGCTTAGTATCCAGTAAACACAAATGAAATCACAAATTCCCCTGCTGAAAATAGCTGGATAAATTACTGTCAAACTGTTGCTTCCAAAGATAGCAACTATAAACTCTAAATAAAATATAAAAATCAACTGATGGCACTAGAAAGTTACCAGGAGCAAAGAGTTGACACTTTGAAGAAGGAAATAGTACTAGATGGTATCCACCTCCAAACCTTTTTAAATTTTTTGGTGAATGGCATTGTGCAGGACTGAGAGGAACCCTACAATCTTTCTGATTTGAAGAATCAGAGAGTTAGGGGCACTTTCTCCCTGGAAAGTAAAAAGAAGAAAGAGTCCATGAAAGAAAGCCAGAGAAATGAAGCCCAAATTTTGTATATGTACCAAAATAATTTTCTGACCTCTAAACCATATATGCAAGGGCAATATCAAGGCAACTCAGGTAAGGATAAAATAACTGAATTGAGATTTGAATTGCCACTGTATTTTAACAAGGATGCTGTGTAACAGGGTTTGCAGTTCAAGTCCCACCAGTTGTTTTCTAGAATAAAAATTCACCACTCTTTGAAGGACTATAACAGAATCCAGTTCCACAATAAAGCATTTACAATGTCTAAGATACAATCCAAGATTATTCAATATACAAAAAGTTTAAAAAACAGAAATGTCCAAGATACAAATAAAAAATATTCAATATACTAAACATTTTTTAAAAAGCAGAAAAAAATGATACATTCTCAAGAATGGAGCCTGATTCTGACATGATGTAGATGTTGCAATTAGCTGCTAAGTATCTTAAAACAGCTGTTAAACCATGCCTGATGATGTAAAGGAAAATATTCTTACAATTAATGAAGTGATAGGAATTCTCTGCAGAGAAATAAACACTATTAGAAAGAATCAGCTGGAAATAAATAATTGAAAACTACCTGAAATAAAAATTCACTGAATGGACTTAATTGGAGAATTGAGATGACAGAGAAAAGAGTCAGAAGCTTGAAGATAGATCAATAGTAATCATCTAAAGAACAGAGAGAAAATATATTGAGAGAAAAAAAGAACACAGGACACATTAATTCTGAAAAGAAAGGTCTAACATATATTTAACTGGAGTCTCATAAGGAGAGGAGAGAATGAATGGGGAAGAAAAGATATTTAAAGAAATATGGCCCCAAATGTCCTAAGTCTGATATAAGACAGACATTTACAGTGAACTTCAAGTGGAGTAAGTACAAATGAAATCACATAGCCCAATTCAGTTGGCTTAGTATCCCCACCTGTTCACTTGTCTTCCTTCTTCCTGACCCCAAGTATTTCTGGGGTCTCCACAGAATTTCCAATGTATCCAAAGAGTTCTACCCCACAAGCTGCTGCTACTCTCTGTCAGGCCTTCCACTACGAAGCACTTGCTGTGCTGTCTCTAGCCTTTTCTGCCTCCTGTCATTAGTCTTCTGGATGGGGCAGCTCTTCCAGATGGAGAATGCTGGGGGCCAGGATGCAGCTGAGCCTTCAGTTTGCAAATAACAGGAACTTACTTGAGTAAAGGCAAGCAATGAGGAACAGCACTGTATTAGTTTCCCACTGCTGTGTAATAAATTACCACAAATTTAGTGGCTTTAGATGGCACACATTCATACTCTCACAGTTTCTGTGGGTCAGGGGTCCAGTCCCAGCTTAGTCAGATCCTCTCCTTGGGATTTCACAAGGCTGCCGTCAAGGTTCTGGCTGGATTGCATTCTAACAGGGGAAGGAATCCACTTACCGGCTCACTCCAGTTGTTGCTCTGGGTCTGTAAATTCATTTCCTTGTGTCTATATCTGAGAGCCCTGGCTTTTCTCTGGATGGCAGCTGGAGGCTGCCCTCAGTTTCCATGGGCTGACCTGTGCTATTTAGCACATAGTCCTTCCCCAACATGGCCACTTGCTTCTTCAAAGACAGTTAGGGAGATCTTCTCTGGAGCCAGTATGCTAGCAATATAGAGTCTTATATAACACATTGCAATCAGAGAAGTGACATTGCATCACTTTTGCCAAGTTCTACTGGTTAGGAATAAGTCATAGTTCATGCCCACACTAAAGGGAGGTATGGATTATACAAAAGTGTGAACACCAAGAGGTACAGCTCATGGGGGAAGGGGGAACACAGAACTGAAGCAGGCCTCCTGGGGGCCTAGGATGAGGCTGGCAAGCAGTCGGGAAGCATGCAGCTACTTTCTTCTTTTCTCTCTATGGCTGCCTAGTCTCTCATCTCTGCTTCTCTCTGTGCACTTTCTCTTTATGCAGATCTGAAATGTCTCTGTGCCTATGGGCCAAAGATGAATACCCTGCCTCAAATCATGGCCTGCAGCCTTCACTCTGATTAGCCACAAGCATCTCTGTTTCTCACTTCCATTGTCTTAGGAGATGCTAATTGGCTCAGCCAATCCAATGATCTAGCTGCCCTTGGGTTGGGTGACCAGCCTCATCCAATCAATCACAGCCAAGAAGATGCAGAGTCACATAAACAAACACGGCTCCAACCTACCCCTGGGGGTGGGGATACTTCTCAGAGATGGCAAAGTGGAGGCTGGGCAGATATCCCAAAAGATGTCTGCCTCAGCTGTCTTTCCATAGTTTCCAGAGCTAAACAAACAAAAATACCCAAGCCTTCAGGGAGCTAGAAGAGCAGCAGGTTCTCTTTAGGCTTCAAGGCACAGGTGCTAAATCATGTTCAGCTCAGAAGTGGGGAGAATGCCCTCACTCCCAACAGGTCAGACTGAGTGCCTCAAGTCAGAGCAAGGACCAGACACCACCTGTCCCCCACACTGTCGCTGTATCAGTCCCTCTCTCCAGGCCCTTCAGATGGTTTCCTTCCTCCTTGAGCTCAAATACAAAAATAAAAAACACAAAGCCTTCGTGCAAATCAGCTGTGCAAATAGATGCCTGGGGACTCATAAACTCCAAGGCTTCACCAGATATACCCAGACAAATCCAAATTCTCTTCGGGCTCAGAAGATTTGTTGCTTTACAGAGCTGTCAACAGGATTAGATATGGTACATGTGAATCCCTGGGCCTGGTGTACCTGTCACGTGGTAGATGCTCAGTAAATTGAGGTGATGGTGGTAGCAGTAAAGGAACAAGAGGAGGCATAAAAGGAAGGAAAAGGAGGAGACAGAAAAGAGAAGACGGTGCTGGTAATGGACATGGTGAGCATTCTTAGCTTAAGACCAAAGACCTAACTCGATGCTCTAGCCCCTCGTTACTCTAAGTGTGGCCCATGCATCTGCAGCATCGACATCACCAGGAAGCTTGTTAGAAGTGTAGAATCTCAGGGCCCCAGGCTCACCTACTGAATCAGAATCCACATTTTAACAAGATCCCCAGGACCAGGAGTGTCCTCTGCATCTTAAGGTTTAAGAAGCACTCAACTAACCCACTGGATCTCAAATGGCTGCATGCTAGAAGCACCTGGGGAGTTTTAAAGACCTATGGCTTTTTGGGCCCCAGCTGCAGAGAATGGATTTAACTGTGTTGGGCCAACCTGGTTGGTGGGCCTTTTAAAAGCTCCCTGGGTGATAATGAAGTGCAGCAGTTAGGGAACTACTGCTCTGACCGACTGCATCGGTTAGGATTGCCTTCAGTTATGTGTGCAAGCACTGATGCCAAAACAAAAGGAAAAGCCTGGGCATCTGGCAGCCCAGAGCTGGGGCCGCGGCTCCTGCAAGTAACAAAGGGCCCTGCTCCTTCCAGCCTCCTAATCTGCCATCGTTTGTATGGGACTGGTGTCCCACAATCACAAGATGGTTTATGTGCCATCTTCATCCAGGCAGGAAGAACAAGGGACAGGAGGAGGGATAAGGACAGAATGTACATTCAAAGGTACACATTAAGTCTATTCTCCTTTAACAAATATTCTTGGAAGTGCCACCCAGCATCTTTATACTTCATTGGCCAGAAGTATGTCCCATGGCCACAAACAGCTGCAAAGGAGACTGGAAAGATGAGTGTTTTAAGCTGAACATGGCATTGTCCTGAATAAGAATTGCAGTTCTTTTAGTAAGAAGGAAGGGCTGAGTGGCTCTCAATCAAGAATCCAGCAGGGCCAACCACACCTACCAGGGATGTACCTACTGAGCTCCAGTTTCTTTGCTTTGAGGTACACTCCTGGCCTCCAAATGATTGATCCTCTCTCTCTCCTCACTCCTGGGGAGACTTTCTACCCGTGAGACCAAAGCCCATCCCAGCACTGCCTTCCCACTCCCACCAGCTCAGCTTCTAGCAGCTGAGAGTTACCCTCAGGCAGGTGCCCGAGTGCACGTGGCAGATTTCCTACACCTTCCTGAGATCTGACACAGCAAGGAAGGATGCTAGTGACTCGGGAGGCAAGGGAGGCAAGCCCAGGAAACATGCCCTCCCTCCCTCAGTCACGTGAGCTGATTTTTGCAGAAGTACTTTGTAAATTGCAAGGAGTAACATAACAGAGAGGTTGGGATGATGATGGTAAGCATTTGGAGAGGGGAGGACCTGAACTCCCCTCTCTAATCTGACTCCACCAGCTCTCTAATCTCTCCCGCTGTTGGGAAACAGCAAGACAAAGGCCCCCCCTCCCCAGAGGGGCCCAAGGCTGCAAGTCTGAGGCTGCTGAGGCCACTTGGGTGGGCCCAGAGCTCCCAGCACCCAGCCTTTCCCAAACTGCTCTGCCCTTGCACACCCAAAGGAGGGGAACTGGCCAGGACTACATTTTACTCCAGCAAATTATTCTGCTTTCAAATGGCTTGGGACCAAAGCCTGTCACTTTGTTGCAGTCTCTGCTTATAGGAGCTGGGCCAGCAGGATGCCTGGAGACACTGCAGGGTCTCTGGGAAAGGCTGCAGAAGGTCTCACCCGCAGTGCATAGTCACTGCAGCTGCCTACTCCCTCCAGTCTGGCTGCTGGTGCCTCTGCCCTCTCCACTTGCTTTCAGCCACTACCCATAGTGCAGTGCGTGATAGCACAGTTGCGCAGAGAGAGCCCGGATGATTATCAGGGCTTACATCGCAGTCCCTGGGGTTGATAAACATTCATCTAGGGCGGAGCCACCTGCTTAAGGAGGAACACGGGTAGGTGTACCTTCCACCTGCCTTGGGGAACAGAGACAAAAGTGAGACTAATAAAAGATTGATTGTGGAGAGTCAATGACTTAAAACAGGTGAAGGTCTCAGGATACGTCTAAGTAGGTAGTATGCGCTCCATCGATGCTTATTACTACTGTAGTCATCATAATGTTATTTAGCACCACCTTCCTCTGCGGCCTGCCCTGTAGCATGCCACACCCCTCAGGTCTGCCCAGCCTCAGTGAGGGCCAGGTTCCAGGCTCACGTGGTACATGGGCTCTGAGGGGCTTCCCAGGGGCTGATGGGAGTCTCTGGGGTCCTGGCTGGTGCCATGGCGCCCAGGACTCTTGAAGGCCAAGGCAGCTTCCTTCTCTCAGGCCCTGCCTCCTCTTTGCAGATTTTAATGAGAACAGCTTCATTGACGAGGAGGGCCTGCAGAGGATCAGCCTGCGACTGCTCAACAGTGATGACGTGTCAGAGGACCTGCTGGCCAACCTCACAAACCACATGTGTGCCAGGGGCTGCCCAGGCGGGGGCAGGCCAGGCCATCACCTGAAGCCTCTGGATGGCAGGCAGGGTGAGGGGCCCTTGGGGGTGGGAACACGGCTGGAGGCAGCTGCCCTCCAGTTTTCTGGCCTTCCTCCCCTAGCATGACTCCCTTCCAGGGTCCCCAGAGCAGTGTGCCTGAGCCACCCACTCCGAGGGGCCCTCCCACCACCTCTTACTGCAGGCAGGTGGCCCCAAAGCAGCTTAGCATCAGATGGACACATCGCAATGTCCCCTTCTTCCCATGATCCCAGCACAACACAGTGCCTAGATGGCCTAGAGAGACAGTCCAAGGTGTGACAGTTCAAAGTGTGACAGGACGTGAAGACAGCCTTGTAAACCTGACAACATGGGTCCCCTTGTCCTAAGGCCAAGTGCTTTGAAGCAAAGATAAAACTGTGAGGGGTCGTCACTGCCTCTTTGACCTCATGGGCCTCTTGCAGTGCAGAGCCCTCGCCTGTGACCAGGAGACAGGACAGGTGCAGGTGGGATGGGGGCGTGTTGTCGCCCTGTTCAACCCTGTGTCAGAGGACCTGCTGAGTGCCCTCACAAACCACGTGTGTGCCAGGGGCTGCCCGGGCAGGGGCGGGCCAGGCCATCACCCAAAGCCTCTGGTCTAGCTCGCACTGCCAAGTTTGTGCTTGGCACCAAGAGGACTCTTCCCATGATGGACCAGCCCATGAGGTCCCAGACCTCAGTGCACATACCGTCACTTCTGTCCTTGTCCAGGAGCAGTGGGGAGCAGGTGGGGGTGAAGAACAGCCACCCCTTGGGGGCTGGCACTCTGGGATGCATGTGAAGCACTGGCAGAGAGCCTGGCCCACGGGAGCACTCGGTACATGGAATTTCTCCCCCCATCCCTGCACCCCTTTCATGCCAGGCTCCTCTCTGCTCTCTGGCTCTTCCCTACCCTGGTCAGGTCCTGAGTGAGTCTGATCTGGACAATGACAACATGCTGTCTTTCTCAGAGTTTGAACACGCCATGGCCATGTCTCCAGACTTTATGAAGTAAGGTGTTTGTGTGCAGGTGGTGGGGGGTGTGCTCAGCACACTGCTGGGCAGGGAGGAGAGCTGGAAGCCAGCCATCACTCAGAATAAGGGCATGAGAGGTTGGCACCAGAGGGTGCCCTAGGACCACAGTGAACCCAGAAATCAGAGGGTGCTTAGGCCGGCAGCTTAAGGCAGCTCAAAGGATGCTTTCTCTCAGTTCCTTTAGGATTCATTTCTGGGAATGCTGATGTGGCCACAGTTACCTGATCAGGCAGGCTCAAGGCAGACCATAGGAACTTGGAATTCAACCCCCTGCAGGCACTGGCAGCCTCTGATTAGAAGTATGACTTTGTCCCTGTCCTTCCCTCACTTTCTAGAATTCTGTCCCCTCAATAAAGAAAAAAAAACCTTGCCCCATTAACTCATCAGTTTTTGAATGCAGTGTCATGTAGAAGCACTTTTTATTAAGAACTGCTCATTCCAAGGGCTTAAGTTTGCCAACACCACCAAGCAAGCTGGACTGGCCAGTATTTTTGAGGGCAGAGTTCAAATCCCCACCCATGTCACAGCAGGGAGACCAAGCCAAATGGGCTGAAGTTCATCAAGAAAATATGTACCCTTCCCCTGGTTCCTTGGGGCCACTTCCCTTCATCTCTCTCCTGGCATCACAGTGCAGGCTGTACAGAGATGTGCACGTAGTGGTCATTCCAGTTGGCGCCCGACATCCCAGTCTTCACTGAGGGAGAAGACATCTTGGCCCCACTTGGCACCCCCCAGCCCTTGGGATTCAATAGGGTGTGACCGGCAATCAGACCTTATTTACTTTGCTATTTAGCCAAGTCCTGGAATGAATTTAGCCACCACAGGGACCCTTTGCGGCCCAGCTGGTCAAGGACTCTGGGACACAGAGAAGACCCTCATTGGGACTTCTGAGAGCTGTTAGATGCCTGTCTGGTGGGCACATGGCTTTTCTTGTTTGCAGGGCCCACAGGGGAGCGCCTAAACCCTGGCTCAGAGGGGAGGCGGCCTTCCACCCTCATGTGGACTTGAACATACAGTGGCCTCCTTGCCTTTAGGTCCTGACTCACCCACTCAGGGGTAATAAAGTCCCCGTAGATTGATGGAGTTCCTTGATCAAATCCAGGGGGCGCTGGAATGTTGGAGAACTCCCATGGGGTGGATACGGAGCTGGCCTGAGGTTCCCAGCCCAGATCCTGTCTACTGAGGGACTGTCGCCCACACCCACATCCAGCAGGCAGGAGGCATCCCAGGATGTGGGAAGCCACAGCCTGGGGACAGCAAGCATTCCAGACCCTGGCCCTCCCAAGCCACCTCAGGCGTGTGGTCTGGGAACCCATCCCAGGGATCCACTCCTGGCCTAGAGATTCCTGACACACAGAGATTTCTTGAAGAGTGACTTCACCTTGGGTTAATCCCTCCTCTCTCCTAGAACTGTCCCAGGGGTGGATGCCAAATCAGCCTGCCCCTGCTGGTCTTATAGAATGCAGAAAGTGGCTGCTTTGCACAGCTTGTTCTCTCAGTCACCACAGGGTCCTTTGGGATCCCAGGAGCCACATCGTTCCTGCCCCTTAGTCTCCACATAGACCAAAAGCAGAGTGTGTAGTGGAAAAACTAGAACTTGGAAGTCAGAGAGACCTGGGTTCAACTCCTGACCGTGTCATTTTTAAGCTGTGTGAGCTTGGGTAACTTTCTCAACCTCTCTGAGCTTTAACGTCTTTGTCAGTGAAGTGGGGATACCGCCACCTCTCTCACAGGCTATTGTGTGAACTAAATGATGCTGAACCAGGGCTCAAGCAGGAATGCCTTTGCATCTAACACCTGGTACAATTGTTCTGGGGTCACTCCACCCCCATTCTGAGACGGGGGGGGGGGGTAATGGAGCTTCCTTGATTATACCAGTGGAAGCTGATGGGAGGTCTCTCTCTACCTGAGTGACCTGCCACCAAGACTCAGGAGCTGTACAATCCTTGGTTCTACCTGGCCCCACTTCAGGGGAGAGGAGCATGGACCCAGCAGGTCGCTGGTCACTGCTTTTTCTTGGCTCGAACCCCTGGGGCTGAGGTGTCAACAGCCCTTAAGATGCAGTGCTGTCAGACTCTCTGCCGCTGTCCTGCTGAGGTCAGATGCTCCTGGGGCTCAGAGCAGAGGACTGTGGGACGGTCATGACTACAGATTTTATTCCAAAAAGCCACCCTGGTCTGGGCCATGGCTCTCAGGGTGTCATGCTCTGAACTCAAAGTAGCAATCTCTCTTCTGCCGCTCCTGGGAGGAGACCCTCTTTCCCGAGGGGAACGTCTGGTAGGTCTTCAAGTTGCCAGGGGACACTCTAAAAAGGTGCCACTTGTTCTTCGGGCTCAGAGGAGGCCTGGGGGGTGAGGATGGAGCCAGCATTATGCAGTGTGCCAGGGAGGAGAGGGGGTGAAAATGCCCAACCACAGCCCCACAGGCCATTTTCCAGCCCATGCTGATGCTGACCCTGCTGGCTGCTCCTCAGCTCAATGACTGACATGTCACCCTGCACTTGAGGTCAGAATAACTTGCATGTGCACAGTGGTACAGTGCTTATAATGAGGCTGCTGATGGTGATGGTGATGGTGGTGATGATGGCGATGGTGGTGGTGGTGGTGGTGATGGTGGTGACGGTGATGGTGATGGTGATGATGGTAGTGATGGTGGTGGTGACAGTGATGTAGTGGTGATGGTCATGGTGACGATGGTGATGATGGTAATGGTGACAATGATGGTGGTGGTCATGGTGATAATGGTAATGGTGGTGATGGTTATGGTGATGATGGTGGTGATGGTGATGGTGGTGGTGATGGTAATGGTGACAATGATGATGGTGGTGGTGGTGGTGATGATGGTGATGTGGTGATGGTTATAGTGATGATGGTCATGGTGACAATGGTGGTGATGGTGGTGATGGTGATGGTGACAATGATGGGGATGAAACCCAAGAAGGGCAGGGACTTGCCCCAGTTCACAGAGGAGATCGGGGGAGGTGCTGAGTGCGGGCACTGACCCTCTTACTCTCAACTACCTGGTTGGCCCCCTGTGTTGGCTAGGAAGCCATCAGCAGTGGTGCAACCTGCCAGGCGGTTTGGAGAAGAAGCAGGGCTGGTGCAGCCCAGGTTCCCCACAGATGCCAGAGGTACGGATCCTGCCCAGAGTGGTCTCAAGATGAGTAGGTCCCCAGGAGAGGCCCCACACTGCCTGCAGGTTCAGACTGACTCAGAGCCCTCCCAGGGTGGAGATGGCCAGACCCAGAGTCCTAGAGTTGGTGTTTGGAAACCTGGGTTCCTCCAGGTTCTACCTCCAGCCAGACTTACCATCCAGCACAAGTCCCCAAGGCCTCGCTAAGCCTCAGTTTCCCTACTTATAAAATGGGCCCATTTATCTTGAGGAGAGGAACTTATAGAGGCAGTGATATCCCTTTCTTTAAGGACCATTGAACTGTGGAAAGGATTGCTGCTTTACCAGTAATGGTTGTGGTGAGCTCGGGGCTTTGAGGCAAGCAAGGAGTCATCATGGAAACCCAAGATCCGTCCACTGACCTCCAGATGTCCCCCACCCAACACAAAACCTTGGCAGCATAGACTTCTGACCTCTCTGCTGGGGCGTCAGGAAGGAGCAGAAAAATCATGTGCTTTTATCTCAGATTATCTCCCAGGGCAGAACTGGCCTTCCCTGGGGGAAGAAGCTTTACCGGATAAAAGTAGCAAGGTGCGGGCAGTGAGGAGCTTTCATATCTGTTAGATGGGCAGCTGGACTTTGAAAGACAGTTTCAAGTCTCTATGAGAACATTTTCTGAGTATGGATGGATGGGGTTATGAGGGACCAATTCCCTGCTCTGTGTAGTGCCCTCTGAATCCACCAGAGGGCAGCAGCTCCTTGCTGCTCAGAGTAACTGCGCCTGGATTTGGCCGAGCGAAGCTGCATGCCTGCCATTGCAAGGGGAGAAGCCTGCAGATTCAGGCCCTTAGATTATGAGGTTTGCTCCCGTATGTATCTGTCCAGCAAAACGCTCTTCCTGACTCCACTCATTTGGATTCCTGGCATCCCTCCTGAGGCTGCTGAAACCCTTTCTTACTCTGTAACCATTACCCTCTGTACTGCTGGCTCCTTAGGGCAAGGTCTCAACTCCTCTCAGGCCGGGTACCTGTGTGCCAGGCCAAGAGCTCGCGGCCTGTGACATGTGTTTGTCGAATGCGTGGGTGAAGGGACGGCAGGCACTCACAGGTCGGTGGGGATGGGGTACCGTTCCCGCTCTCTCGCAGGCAGCACAAAGTAGGGAACCCGGGGCACCAAGCCAGTCTTGTCTTGATAGTACCTCCGCTGCTGCTGTGTCATCTGCAGCTCAACCAAGGAAGAGATGACAGGTCGGTAGTGTGCAGGCGGGACCTTGGCCACCTGCAGTCCCCGCCTGGCTGTACCTGGGCAGCGGGTGAGGACTGCCTCCGCTTATGCCCTGGGAGCAGTCCCTGGCTGAGCGTCCTCTCCGAGCCCAGCTCCTCGTCTGTCTAGTGCAGATAATGGCATGCACCACACCACACCAGCTTTGCTATGGAGAGTGAAAGGAACTAGGGACCAGCAGTAGTAAAGTGCAGAAGCCCAGCTCACAGGCAACACTGGGGAGCCGGCATATTCATTTCTCCCTCTTCCCCACTCCTGGTCAGTGTGTGCTCTGCATGAGGGCTGAGATGGAGGGCGAGTCCTTCCCAGGCCCACTGACATGGTCCACAGCTCCTCGGAGCTGATGGCACCCACCTGACCCTCTCCCTGGGGAGGCTGCCTTCTCACACGGTTCTCCACCCTGGGGACCAGAAGACACTTTGTCCTTAATTCAGGCTGGAGGGGTGTGTGCAGGGGAAGTGAGGGAGAGAGTGAGGTTTCTAGGAACACAGCAGGAATGAGACCTGGACCGGACTAAGGTGGGCAGGCACGTGTATGCCTGTGGCCCACTGGGCTGTGTCTGAGCCAGATCTAGAGAGGGCTTTAGGAGCCAGAGGAGCAGGACAGGGACATGAGGGTGCGGGCAGTCAGGGTCTAGTCTGGAGCTGAGGTCAGCCAGGAGCACATCCACACCCCTGGGTACTGGGATGCCAGTGGGCAGAGACAGTTCAGAGTAGACTTGGGGCTGGAGCGGGGGTGGGGGTGTACAAGGGCTTTGTGTATGTGTGCTTCATCCTGTGGGTGAATCTTTGGCCTTTCTCTCTGGTAGGAAGGA